CCGGTCCTCCTGTGGTGAAATGACCCTGGTGTCCGTGAAGCGTGTGCCTCCAGCTTCAGGCCCTCCATGCAATGCTGCAGGGGGCACTTTTGTGCATACGGATGTAGCTGCTGGGTCAAATCCCCCAAAAGGGGTGACTCCAGGATTATGCTCATAATGTGTCCCAGGCTCCCAATCATAGCACCCCCACTCCACAGACAAGCACCCCCACCACCTTCACCAGCCAGGAAGAGTCCCCAGAGCCCCAATGCTTGCTTCCCTCCCTTCCCCTCCCAGGGCAGGGGACTCGGCCACCACCACCCGGCGCTCACAGCTACCAGCAGTATCCATGTTCATTCATCTTTCCCAAAACTCAAGAAAATAAATGAGAAGGCAAAGTGCCATTAGCTTAATGGCCTTTAACACCCAGCCATCTGCCATGATGTAATTAAATAAAAAAATCAGAGGGAGCATATGGTGCCCATTATAAATAAATATCAAAATTTTGTTTCCCTGGATTACGACTCCAGTGCCTCTTGTTCCATGGGCAAACTTTATGGCCATCTTCACTTGTTCTGGAATCAGGCCGGCCACGGCGGGCAGGGAGGACGGCCAGGGAAGGATGGTCAATTCCACCATGCTGGGAGGGTACCTACTGTGTTTCCCATGCCTGGCACCCTAAGTATGCATGTCCGATATGATGTGTCAGACCTTGTTCCTCTTGTCTAATTCTTACACCAATCGTATGTGCAATGGCGCGTATAGTTAGCCCATTTTACAGATGAGAAAACTGAGGATCAGACAGGTTACGTTACCTGCACAAGGTCACACAGCCACAAAGAGGTGGAACAGAGTTTGAATCCAGGTAATCTGGCTCAGAGCTTTGTGCTTTTTTTTATTCATTAAGGAAATTATTTCTCCTAAGACAACAACGATTCTGCGACAGCAGCCCAGGGATGCATCAGACGGAATACACGAACATGCAGGGCAGCAGCAGGCCAGAGCTGTGACCTTCAGAGATGACCTCCAAAAATGGAACTCTTTTCATTCATCAATATTATTTCCCTGAAAAAGACAGAAAGCTTTGGCTTCTAGAAGGGCTATTATTTAAACACTGCCAACAGCCACGAAGCTCCTCTAACTAAGAACCTGTTCTTTTCATCTATTTCCAAAACGACTTATTGATGGACAGGAGAAAGACATAAGATTATTCTTTGGGGAAGCGTCTTTCCCTCGTAGGGAGAGCTACTTTGTCAAGTGTTTAAGCCAAGGTCCCCAGCGCCAGCCGCGGCCGTGAGCGCGCAGGGGCACTGGGCCTGGGCGGGTCTGACACTCCTCTTGGGCTGGATGGGTGTAAAGGCAGGAGCAGCAGCCTGGGGTCCGGGCTTCCCCATCAAGGTGCGCTGTCATCTGAAAGCAGCTGGTGCTCCCGGTCATGCCTCGTTGTGCCAAAACAAACAAGATCACACGCTCTGGTTTTCTGAACAAAGGCTAAACGTGAGGAGGCCGGTCTCACCCTTGAGGGGTTCTGAGAGCAGGAGACAGCCAGAAGGGAGTGGGCACAAGCTCACAGTTCCACCCGCAAGCAGCAGCCCAAGGGAGGAGCTGAGGCCTCCCAAGCTGGGGGTCCTCTCCGTCTTGGGAGACTTCGGGTTTTTTTATTTTAAGAGTTTATTTTAGGGTTTGTTTGTTTGGGGTTTTTTTGGTGATTTTTTTTTTAAATTTTATATATTTCTCACATCATTTTTCATGTTTGCACAATGTATGCATTTTCACCTTGGTTATAGTCCCCGTACAATTCCCACCCACCCTTGTTTTGGTCCTACTTCCTCTTCTCCCCAGGTAGTGTGTCTCTGGTTTATAGTTGCTTGTTGTGCCCATGTTTATAGCAGCACTATTACAATAGCTAAGCTATGGAAACAACCCAAATGCCCAAAAATAGATGACTGGATCAAGAAGATGTGGTACATATACACCATGGAATATTACTCGGCAATCAAAAAAGATAAACACATGCAGTTTGCAGCAACATGGATGGCGCTGGAAGGGATCATGCTCAGCAAAATAAGCCAGAAGAAAAAGAAAAATGCCGGATGGTCTCACTCATAGCAGGAATCTAGAAAATCTAAATAAGGGACCAGGAAAAAGACTGTTTTAGTTTTTTATTTGCATAGAAGAACTGTGGTATAGGTCAGGGGTGTGGGTAGGGGTGAGAGGACTCAGCAGAGACAGAGTACGGAGCAGAACAGGTGGATCTACTAAAATACACTGCTGAGGGGAGCAGTAGGCACGACAGGAGATGTCTGCTGTGCCGTGTGAGTCAGGTTTTTGATTGTCCATGAGGCTGCTATTCCCTTGGGCAAGACTAAGGCACCAGGCTACAGCTTCTGAGTTGCTCCATCTGTATGGAGGCCTGGGGCAGTAGCCCCCAGGAGACAGCCAGCAGGAAAGGAACCCATGACCAGAGCCTTTTGGGAAGGACAGGTGTGGAGAGCTTGGGGGAGAGGAGCTTGGGGGAGAGGGGCGGTGGCTCCTGGCTTCCAGAGGGCAGGTCCTCAGCATTGCCAGGGCTTGCTAAGGCTCAAGGGCAGGCAGCCTTGGGGTCAGGGGAGGGCTGAGGAAGCAAAGCCCAGAGCAGCAAGGCCGCTCTGTGTATTGCAGGAGTGGACAGAGCTGTGGTCCTTCCATCCAGACTCACAGCAAGTACAAGATGAGAGGGAGGGCCTCCCTGGTGGTGCAAGGGGTTAAGCACTGCGCTATGAAGCAATCGCAGCCTCTGCAGCACAAGTTTGATCCCTGGGCGGCCAGGGAGAGACCCACATGGCGAGGCAGACCTCTCCTGCCTCGCCCGCTGCTCCCCTCAGCATTATATTTCAGTCACTCTGCCTGTTCTGTTCCCCACTGTCTCTGGTGAATCCTCTCACACCCCTGCCCCCCCATCTCTGGCCTTTACCCCAGCTCTTGTATGCATAAATAAATCAATCTTAAAAAAAAAAAAAAAGATGCGAGGGAGCCTAATGGAAACTATGGCTTCTGGAAGCTATGGCTTCGGGTGATCACCCTGTGTCATGCAGATCATCCATTGTGATAAATATCCCTGTCTAACGGGGAGGAGGGTAGACCAGGAGGCTGTGATTGTGGCGGGGCAAGGAAGAATATGGGAAATCTCTGTACTTTTTGTTGGGAACCTAAAACTGCTCTAAAAAGCAGTCTGTTTCAGAAACGGGGAGGCAACCCTATACTTCAAAAGGCAGGGAGTAGATTTCAGTGACCCACACGAACTCGGGCAGGGGGAAGGGGCTGGGTTGCAGGAAGGTGGGGGGGAGAGGGGAGGGGTGGGCAGGAGGGCAAGTGAAATGACAGATCCCCTTCTCTGGTGGCTTGATGAAAGGGACCCAAGGCACCGGTCACCCAATCTACTGGCAGGCAGCTGGCAGCCCCCACTGAGCCCCGATCATTTTCCTCCCCAAGAGGGATGTCTAAAGAAAGCCCCCAAATCCCTATCATTAAACCATCTGGAGTCATCGCTTTCCTCTGGGAGCTGCCATGTTGAGGGTCAATTAGTGCACATTTGCATAGAATTCCTTAATAGGCTGCTAATTGTCTGGGGAGATAATGGACGGCTCTGCTGGTTCTGGGCAGAATGTTTACCCACAGGGCAGACCCGCAGGGGGTGGCAGAGAGGGGCGGCAGGAGGGAGGGAGACGAAAGGATGGGGTGGGATGGAGGGAATGGAACGGACCATTGCAGACTCGGACTCACCCGCTGTGGGGAAGCATTACTCTGTGAACCTTTTGTTTACGTGTGAGTGTGTGTGTGTGCGCGCGCGCGCGCTGGTCCCAATGTAGAGTGCATTTCTCACTGTAGGTCCATTTGCATCACCTAGTGATAGAGAGATGGAGCCACAGCTGCTCTGGGCTGGGTGACCCCAGAAGGGGCACCAGGAAGAAGCTGAGCCCTGAAGTCTGGGGAGATCCGGAGCCAGGGTGCCCCAGGCAGAGGTGGCTCAGCGCTAGGGAGCTGGGGAAGGAGCTGGAACAGGTCAGGGTCAGTGTGCACAGAGTGGGGCTGGGCACAGTGGACCCCAGCCTGCAGCGCCCTGTGTATTCTGCTCAGGGCCATGTCTGCACTCTAGTGTGACCTTCGTGTCCAAGGGGGATGGAGGAGGAAGCCCTAACGACTCTGCCAGTCCCAGCAGCCAGGTGTCAGTGGCTCTCGGGAGGCTGAGCTAGGATCTAGAAGTATTTGTCAGTTGGTGGAGCTGAGAACAGGCTGCGGTCTGGATCCACAGCAGGGGCCGGTGGAAGCTCTAGAATTTCTTTCTGGGTATGGTTCAGGGGCAAAATCTGGCTGGAAGAGCAGACTCAATTCTGCAGGACACTTGGATGAGGTGAGGTCATCCCCTTCAGGGGGTGGCCAGACTATATCACCTGTACTGGCCTGTTTTTGTAGGTTCGAGAACTAAGAATGGCTTTTATGTACTTCAAAAATCATGAAGAAGGAGGATGAGGAAGAGATGGTGGGGGAGGAGCAGAGGGGAAGAGAAGAAGGAAGAAAAAGGAGGAGGGAGAGCAGGAGGGAGAAGACCATGACCCTGGCACCCAGAATCTTAAATACCGAGTTTGCCCCCCTGGATCTTTATCCGCAGTGGAGGCTGCCGGAGATTGCAGGGAGAGGGCTTAGGTCCTTGAGGAGGGTCCTTGACCATCCCAGAGCTTAAGACCATCCTCTGGCCTCCCTGCTCCTTCCCAGGGCCAGGGACAAAGAGCCAGCATGGACCTGGGGATCCTTGACCCAGCAAAAATTCCCCTTTAAAGGGGAAACCGAGGTCCAGGGACCCTCCAGCTAACCGCCCCGTGAAATGCCTGCAGGGAACTGGGCCCAAGCCAGGGAACTGGGCCCAAGCCGGCTTCAGGAAGCTTTAGCTATTGCTATTGTCATCCCTACTGTTACCTCAGAGAATCGTCGCGTTCAAAGGGCCTTGGAAACCAGCACAAGCCTGCTACTTCACGAAGGGGGAACCAGGGCTCAGAGAGGCTGAGAGTGGCACAGGGTCCACCGCCAGGCCCAGCCCGGGGTCCCAGGGCACAGGATGCTCTTTCCTCAGGAGCCAACACCTCCCAACCCAGCAAGCAAAGCGCCCCTTGCCGGCTCCCCAGGGACTGCGGAGGATTAAACTCTCATTTAGGTGTGTGACAGCTCCCATTAGCCACTCTGTCCCCAGAGGGATTTTCCATCAGGAGTTTCCCCAACAAGAACCACGGAGCCCACCCCCAGATGGCCCAAGCCCGTCAGCGCGTGTGTGTTTGTGTGTATGTTTGTGTATGTGTATGTGTTTTCATGTACACATGTGTTTGTGTGTCTGTGTGTCTGTGTTTGTGTGTCTGCGTGTGTACGTGTGTGGGCATGTGTGTTCTCTGTGCCCCCTACACAGATTCAAGTTCTTTTCCCTCATGGAGCAGCCAGAGCCATGGAGGGGCTTCCAGTCCCTGCAGGGGCACAGGCAGGACTATGAAGTGGGCTCATAGCCCGTCAGAGCTGAGGGAGGACCCTTCATAATGCCCAGGCCAGGTTCCTCATTGACGGACAGGGAAACTGAGGCCTGAAGGGGGAGATAGAGGGACTCCCCATGGTCATCCAGGGGTTCTAGCCAGACTCAGGTTCCTGGACTGGGGCCACAAGCCCTGGCGCCCCTCTGGGAAAGCAGGAAAGGGATGAACTGCCATCTGTTGCTCGCTGCTGTGCGCCGGCCCTTCCCCGCACACGGTGTCATCACCCTCCTAGTGGCGCTCTCTGGCCAGGTGGATTTAGTCTCACTCTACAGGTGAGGCAGTTGAGGCTGAGAGAACAGCCAACTTGCTAGAAGGCCGAGGTGGCAGGTGGCAGAGCAAGGGCCAAATCTAGGCCTGCCCAGCTCCAGAACTTCACCATAACTTCTGTGGGCCTTCACCTCCTGCACAGTGCCATCCTCTGACCTCTGACCTCCCAGCCTCTTCTCTGCAGGGTGGGGTGATCCCCAGGGAGTCTGCTCAGCAAGCCGGTACCCTGCTCGAGACCCCTCCACGGGGTAAAGGAATGAAGCCCTTCTAGAAGGTATAGGGGTCCCCAGGCCTGTGTGGAACCTTCACTGTGTCCTTCAATGGCCCAAAGAGATGGACCCCTCCCCCCAGGGCAACTGCTGCCATAAACGGACCGACACCTTGGCCCCTTGGGTCTCCTTTGGGCCCCCTTCTGGATTCCTGGTAAAAGGTGGCACTGACCACACACATGCTCAGGCCAATAGAGACACGTGCGTGAACACGTCACCCTCTCCCGTCTCCTCGTCCGTCCCCACCCAGCACACGCGGGGATCCTTCAGCCCTATTCGCAGACGAGAACCAGCAGCCGCCACAGCCGCCCAAGACACACACAGTGTGGCCAGCATGGCCAGAAACCCAAGCTTCTCATTCTGCCCCAACAGCATTTCTTATCCATGGGGATTGTGAAAAGAATAAACGAGCACTTGTCTTCAAAAGTCTAGACCAGGGTTTCACAACCCAGCACCACTGACTTTTGGAACTGGATCATTCTTCGTGGTCAGGAGGGCAGCAAGCTGCCCTATGCATTGCAGGATGCCTGACAGCATCCCCGACCTCCACCCAGCGGGTGCCAGCACCGCCTCCCCCCACACACAGAGCCAGACACTGAAGAACAGCTCGAGGCTTTGTTCTAGACCTCGCCTTTGTGACGAAACAGAAACGTGGCCAGAAGGCTGCTCCTGGAGATTCTGACTCCAGATGGAATGGCGATGGAGTGCCTGATTCTAGAGCTCTATTCTGGATTTTCCCTTAATGCACTATAGGATTCTCCCGTGGAGTTGCACATGAGGATTCCCAATTTCTAGAATTTACCAGCTCTATTTCAGTGTTGGCGGGTTCTCTGACACTGAAATTCTGAGCTCCTAAGATTCCATCTCCTGTTGTGTCGAGGTGGCTGCTCTCCCAGGAGACAGCCATGCCTCACCGCCTTCCAGTGACCAGGATGAAAGACACGCCCATGAATTATATATTTCAAGTCATCTCTAAATGGCCCAGCAATTACGGAATGCCAGGGGTCAGCTACCAGGGGAAAGAAGCGCCTTTTCAGCAGAGAGAAACAGCTGGATGGAAGCACAGCACACCAATAGACATCCAGATGTTACCGCTTGCATGAGCTTTACAGGCAATTTTTTTTTCTTTTTGCCTAACTGTATTTTCTTTTTCCACAATTGGCTGTGGGTTAAAGAAGGTGAGGGAGCCACTCACCTTCTAAGTCACAGCCCTGTGATCTATGGAATGGGAGGGCGTGGGGACCACGCTTGGGTTCTTGAGAGATTTAGCACAAGTGATGCATGTAAAATGCTTAGCTCAGGGCCAGGCCTGTCTGTGGGTCTCACCCCACCACACCCGCTATTCTCTTTGCGTTTGAGTCAGTGCAGGGGGCCAGAGAAAGACGAAAGCATGTGGGTTCTAGAATGTGTTCAGGTCACCCGTTCAGCTATCACTTCATATCCAGACTTCAGGGAGACCTCTGTTCCTGTTGGGAACCTCCATTTTCCCAAGGTGTAAAATGGGCACAAACATGCCAGTCCTCAAGGTCCCAACGGGCATCTGGCTCTGCAGTCCATGCTGCACTATTATTACCCACCCCAGGGCTGGCAGGCACAGCGCCCCCCTCCTAGCCCTGTCCAGGTGGGCGGGACTAGGACTGAACTTAGCCCTGCATCTCATCCCTCAACTCATCAGCGATTCTGAAAGCCAGGCCGCCGGCCCCAGCATTAATAGGTCGTTGCCTTCGTGACGTCTTTAAATTTAGATGAACACTCTGCACGCAAAGACGCCTCCACCCACGCACCCCCAGGAATAAATCCAGGAATAAGGAGTGGGAGGGAGGGAGGTCTGTCTCCAGGGAAGAGGGAGGCAGGGGAGCCGGCTTGGAGGCTTCTCTCCGAGGGCACAGGATCCTCGACGCCCAGAGGCGACCTGCGTGGTCCCTGTCCCAATCCTGGTTGAAGGTTCTGCTGGCACTACCTTGAAATCCTTAATAATTCTTGAACATGGGGCATTTTCATTCTGCACAGGCCCTGCAAATGAGGGTCCTGGGGGGCTGAGGGTCAGAGGGGGCTCATGTGAAAGCCCCTCTCCTCCAGTGCAGAGCACGCAGGAGAGACTCAATCCTAGGCTCTCTCTTCCCTTCCCACCCACCTTTCCAGGTCCTTGTGTGCGCACGCGGGTTTCCCTCTCCATGACTCCAGACTGCTCTGTCAGGCGCAAGGCCAAAGCTACCTTACATTTTCTTCTAGCTCTTACCTACTGCCCCACCCACTCATCCTACAATTCATTCACTCATTCATTCATCTCACAAATATTTGCTGAGAACCAGCCACCTGCCAAGCTGAGCTGTGCCCCTTTGTCCTGGCCGCAGCCAAGCAACCTACCCACGGTGAGCATTTATCCCGCCCAAACTTCGTAAATGCCCCATCTCTGGAGAAAATGTCTTTCCTCACCTCAAAACACCTCTGCTCCCACCAGCAGGCACCCCGTGTCCTCCCCCACCCCCGGGCTGGGGGTGCAGCATGTTTTACTTTACTCAGCATCGTGGTGCCAGGTGCACACCTGTTGCATGCCAGGTGCAGCAGACACACCCCTTAGGAAGGTGTGGCCTCTCATCGGGGTGATGACCTCTTATTTTTTAACTTTTAAACTTTCAGGGTCCATGTTGGTTTCAAGCACTCCCAATGGCAGTGTCATTTGTGGGACTCCCAGACCTTGATATATCCCATTCCTAATGTTCACCATGACTTTGGAAGGTGGTTGCCATTCTCCCCAATATACAGATGAGAAACTGAGGCTCAGACACATCAAGGGCAATTGTGTTCAAAGTCACAGCTCACACATCCAGAACTGTGTGACCCCAAGGGCTGTTAAGGACACTGCTGCCTCTTGTATAGAAGTTTGATCCCCAAAGGGAACGTGAGCTCTGAGGGCTGGGAGTGCCTGACTTAGATAGAGTCTTTCCTCCCTCTCTGTTGACTCATTGCATCATCCAGCCAGTCCCTGTTAAGCGTCTGGAGCACACCATTCCTGAAGGCATCCCAAGTGCAAAGGCCAGCTCCACCAGGCAACAGGAAGCCTTTTCTGTATCTTCACTCAGCAGGTTGGCCCCCGAGGTGTCCCGCATCAGTGAAAGGAAGACATCAAGTCAGAGAAAGCCATCATCCCCAAGATGCCTGGCGCTGAAGGTCTCCTGTGGGACCGAACGCAACCTTTCCATCTGATTCAGTGAGACTACGCAAGGTGGTCCTCAGGAGGGTGCAAAGCATGCCGGGGAATCCTCTGGAGGTGCTGAGGCTCACCCGTGAGTTCCTGCTTCAGCAGCTCTGGGGTGGGGTCTGAAAATGTGCATTTCTGACAGGCTTCCAGGTGAGGCTGCTGCTCTGAGCCCAGGAATCAAACTTCAACATCTAAGTGATTAGAGCTGCTCGCATTATAGGAGGCCTGGAGAAACTGGGGTCTGACCCTGTGGCAGGGAGCATAGCCCGGGGGACAAGCACACCTCCATTTGAGTCCCAGGCTTGCCAGTTAGACACATGAGACTCAAGGGATATGGAAGAGCCTTTCTGAGCCTCAGTTTCCACATGGGAAGTGGACAGTACCTCCCTGCGTGGGTGCCATGAGCACTAATAAGGGCTCCCATGGTTGTACTCAGAGTGCTTTCTCTGTGCTTCAGGGGACTCTATCCATATGGCTGGTGCTGGCATCAGAAGAAAAAATTTGGACAGACACACAGACGGGGAAGGCGCTGTCAAGACACAAGGAGACCGCCTGTACCAGCCCAGGACAGAGACCAGGAGCAAATGCTTCCCCAGGCCCTCAGAAGGAACAAACCTGCCGATACCTCCCTTTAAGATTTCATTTCCAGACCTGTGAGACAATAAATCTCTGTTTAAGCCACTAGAGCATCTCAGGTCTTTTTTGCGAGAGACTTTGCATACGGTGTAGCGAAAAAGCGCACATCTTAAGGACACAGATCAATGGACTCTCACCTGCATACTCACTCACGTCACCTCACCCAGATCAAGACAGAGAGGCTCCCTCACGCTGCCCCCCCCCTCCCCGCCAACCCCGCTCCTCTGCGGCAAACGGGTCTCGCTTCTATCACGCAGAGCAGTTTGACACGTTCTCGAGTCATACAAGTGGCCGAATAATATTGAACAGAGGAAACCAGCCCTTTATATTTAAGCTCACTTGATGCTTGTAAAAAAAAAAAAAAAAAGAAAGAAAGAAAGTACAAGACACGAGTCCATTGCATAGAGGAGGAGTCAGGGTCTCCAGAGAGGTTCAGTAACTTGCCTGAGGTCCCACAGCTAGGGTGTGGGTGGCAGAGCCAGGAGGTAACCTGTACTTACTGCTTTTATAGTCCTCAGTGTGTGCCCAGTAAATGCAGTCAGAGTGACCCTGCCCAGCCAGGTACATGACACATGCACTGCCTTATACACACACGCACCCTGTAGTATTGCAGCAGTGCACACTAACAGCTCTCCCCGCTTACAGGGAAACTGAGGCTCAGGGCAATGGAGATGTGCATGCCAGGTCACGGGGCTGGGAAGTGGCAGCACTGGGATGGAGCGCTAGTAGCTGCTTACAGATGTCACGCACTCGAGCACCGACTTCGCCTGTCGTCAGCCAGCTCCTGGGAATCAGCAGTGCTGGAACCGCGGAACCCAACAGCCCGTGCTTTCACTGGACCACAGGCGATACCACAGCAAACTCTCCAGAGACACAAATATCTAACCCAACAATACAAGTGCTGGAGAGTGTGCAGGACAAGTGGGCCACGCATCCTGGGGGGAGCGATGCCGAAGGGCAGACAGCCATCGTGGAAAGCAGTCTGAGGGTTTCTTAGAAAAAGAAACATCCACTTACATTAGGGCGCAATAATCCCCCTCCTAGATATTTACTCAAGAGGAACGAGAGCCCAGGCTTGGGCGGAAACATGGACACACGTGTACACAGCGGCTTCATTGGCAATTGCCCCAAACAAAACCACCGAAATGCTCTTCAAAGGCAAATGGACAAACTGGTAAATCTCCCCAAGGGAGCACGCCTCAACTTCAGAAGGGATGACTACGGACAACAGCATTGCTGAATCTCAGAGGCGTTACCCCGAGTAAAAGAAGCCAGACTCAAAAGGCGCCATGATTCCATTGATATGACATTCTGGAAAAGGCCAAATGCAAACAGATCACTGGTGGCCAGGGGAGTGGCCGGGGGAGTGGGGAGGAATTTTTCAGAGTGAGCTGCTTTATATCCTGATGCTAGTGGTGGTTATATGGCCGACCGCATTTGTTAAAACTTGCAGAACTATAAACTACAATGGGTGAATTTTACTGTGAATAATGATGCTCAATAACAACAAAAAAATTTAAGCTAAAACCCACTGTGATTTTTTTCCTGCTAGGCCGGCTGAGCCCCGAAAGAAGAGAGACCTCCAAGACAATCCACACCTGCTCACTTCTCACAGGGCGGGGGATGCTCACCTGGAGGGCAGAGATGGCACAGGCCAGGTTGGGCTCCTGGCGCACCTGGGCTCCCACATGACCCTGCTCTCTGCCTGCTCTGCTCCAAGTGCAAGTAGCACACGTGAGGGCTTATTTTTGCTCTGAGAAGTACCAGCCACGGGGTACTTTCACCGCAGGCAGCCGCCACCCCCTGCTGTGTTTACATAAAAACACTTTTGCACAGGATTTTGTTTTTACATTTGCCTCAGCTGGCCTGGATTCTATTAAACACAGGGAGGGCTGATGATTGGGCTGGAAGCAGCTGATGGGAGAGGCAGACTGGAGGACTGCTCGGCGCGTGCTCCCTCCCAGCCCCCCTGGAACTCCGGGGTTCTGTGCAGCGGGGACTGAAGTGCTCGCTCATGCAGGAACCAGCATCTCCCAGCCTTGGCTCTACTACATTGGTGGGGAGACGACTGGCTGTCCAGGGGCGCTGTCTTACGCGGTGCGGGATGTTTGAAGCGTGCCTTCCAGCATCTACCAGTGGTGACAATCACAATGTCTCTGTCTCCTGGGAGATACCCCCCATTAAAGACCACTAGCACCCCAATTCAGCTCAGCCATCCCTCTTGGGGGCGGGCCTTCCACAACCCAGCTGAGGAGAGAGCTGCATCCCGGCTCTCCCCACGCGCCCGTGCATTCCAGTTCCAGAGGCTCCGTGAGGCTGTGCGGAAGCGAGGGCCGACAGTCACTGGCTACCCACGGTCTTGGAGGACACTGCCCAGCCATCAGACTCTGGTTGCGTGCGTGGACCTGTGCCATGTGCCAGGCTGTTCCACATCACCCTATCCAGCCCCGGTCTCAAGGCCCGCCGTGATCCCCATTTTATAGATGAGGAAACCAAGACACACCTCGCGGGTGGTGGAGTCGGGATTGCGCTGAGAACGTCTGTCGCCAGGCCCAGTCTAATTACATACTCTACTCAGGGCAGCTGCAGCCTTAAGAATTTTTTAAGGACAAGATGGGGAATAAATAGTGACAAAGAGTCTCTCCTTCCCCAAACTCCACTCGGCCTCACCCTGAACTCCTTTCCAAGTAGGTGTCTCCGCGTTGTCCAAATTTAGCATGAATTCTGCTAAGTCAGCGCGACCAGAACCACCCCCCACCCTCCAATTCTCATCACGCCTGATATCTAATAGGGCTCTTGGTCCCCTGCGCGTCCCCCCACCCCCACGGCCACGGCCCCGGCCCCGGGGGCTGTGATCACCCGGCCTGCCTTCAACAAGACTCCTGCTAGGACAGAGGAGCCTGGATCCGCCCCCTCCCACCCCCGTGTTTCCTCCCAGTAATTTTCCATTCATTCACCCCGCCCCGCTCGTGGTTATAAATTCCCACTTGCCCACGCTGCATTCAGAGCTGAACCCCCTTCTATATTCATGTCGCTTTTTTCTATTGCCACATAAGCCTCAATACAATCTAGGTTTCGCCACTTTACTGCCCAGCTCTGGTGGGTCTGTAACTTCAGCTCCAGACACACGGGTCTGGGCACCCGGGGACGGGATGCGCTCGCAAAGCGGAGAAACTACCAAGATTCACACCATAAGGAGTGGGGACTTTGGTGCAGGAAAAACTGGCACCCAAATCCCTCCTGACCACTTCCATCTCTCTGAAACTGGGCACGGGATAGGGCCTGAGTTCTTCCATCTGTAACATGGGGACATTGCAAAAATAAAGCACAGAGTTTTCATAAAGATTCAAGCGGCTAACGCTTTGCAGTACTGTCTTCCTGAGGCGGCCCAGAACATGGCCCGTGCAATACATTTTGGTTGGATGGCGACAGGTGAAAAAGGCTTTGGGGAGAATGCCCCAGATAAGGTGGAAACAGAGACAGAGGTAATTTTTTGTCTTACCAGCAAGGCAGGGGTGTTTGAACCCCAGACAGTCTGTAAAACACACACACACACACACACACACACACACACACACACACAGCTGCTTTGCTCTTCCTCAATGGCCTCCTGCCCTCAGATCGGACCATAATAAAGACCCCCCCCCCATGCATGTTGGCCAATGATGGACTGCCAGGTTGGGTTAGAGGCTGCGTGGGGCCCTCAAAGGAAGGCTGTGACCCCCTGGAAACTGCAGAGTCCAAGTCAGCATCCCCTGACCCCTTTCTCAACAGGCAGATCAAACACAGGCGACTCTGACCTGGCCTCCGCAGAGCCTGCCCTTGTGCAGCCAAGAAGAGGTAGCCCTGTCCCTCCCTCCCAAGTGAAAGGAGGGACAGGATAAAGGTGCGGGTGCGGGGGGGGGGGGGGGGGGGGGGGGGGAGCGGGTGTCCTCCGGGCTATCAGCCATGGAAGGTTCTGCTGCTTCGTGTTAATTCAAGAGCATCCACGTCTCCTGCTGAGCAGCTGAAGAGCTCTCTGGAGCCTCTTTTCAACTGAAAACAGTAATTTGCAAGAGCTCACAATGCCAGGAGCAGCCGGGATGGCACAGTTGAACCACAGCCGCAGCCCCGAGCCTGTGGGGCCACTTCAAGCTTCTAAGGGCTGGTGGGAGGGTCTGGGGCAGAGGGAGGAGGGCGCAGCCCACCGCTGCTCCCAGGATGAGCTGTGCTTTTACAGTAAAGGGAGGCCCTGGTGTCAGCCTGGTTTGTCTGCTGCCTAGGGCTGCGGCAGCAATTACCCAAACTGGGTGACTTCAAACAGCAGAAATGTCTCTTCTCCCGGTGCCAGAGTTCAGAAGTCCAAAGTCAAGGTGTCCATGGGATTGGTTCCTTCTGGAGGCTGTGAGGGAGAATCTGCTCCAGGTCTGGTCTCCCTTGATCCTGGGGGTTGCAGCAGCCCCTGGTTTTCTGTGGCACGTGGATGCTTCCGCCCAGTCTCTGCCTCTGTCTTCACGAGCATTCCTTGTGTGTCTCTGCACTTCTGTTTTCTCTAAAGAACACCAAAGGACTAGATTCCAGCATGACCTCATCTTAACTAGTTATACTTATTTCCAAATAAGGTCCATTTCTGAGGCTTCTGATGGATGGGAATTTTTTTTGGGAAACACTGTCCAGTCTGGTAGAGAGTGTACTGAATTCTACTTCTTCCACCTGCCGTTGTGTGATTGTAAACAAGTGACTTAACCTCTCTGATCCTGCTTCCTCAACTTCAAATAAGGAAACTATTTTAGAAGATCTTATAATGAATGACAAGGTTATTGTGATGATTAAGTCTGATGACACAATATATCAAGTGGTTTTGTGCTCACCTGATCACCCGCCACCTACTTGCTGTGTGACCTTGGACAGATTACCTAACCTCTCTGATCATCGGATCCTTGTGTCTAATTTGAAGAGATTGAAAGATACCACAGGCCTCCTCCTCTTCTTCTCCTAGTCTAAACTCATAAAGGTCCCTTAACTCATAAGGGGTTGATGGGATGTCTTAGGATATC